CGCCAGCCGGGCGTGAGCGGATTAAAACCTGATGTCCCAAGCTCGGAAGGAAGATTAAGGGATGGGAGGAGGGCCCCGACCCAGGCGGAGTCCCGAAGCTCACCGCTCTTGGTTAGGGACGGGCAGCGAAGGCGGCCGGTTGCAGGAGTTCAGCGTGGGCTGTCTTGCCCACTGTTTTCAGGAATGGCAGTCTAAGACGTCGGCAGATGGAGACGAACCTGGTTCCTTTCGGCCAACTTTTCGTCTTAGAACCAGGGTGCTCTGTGTGTAGTTTTTACCTGGATTGTTTTTCTTGTAAGCTTTTTTCTTTTTGAGACGGGGTCTCACCGGTTTGCCCAGGCTGGAGCGCAATGGCGCCATCACAGCCCCCTGCAGCCTTGAACCCCTGGGCTCAAGCCATCCTACAACCCTTTGGCCTCCCAAAGAGCTGGGATTGCAGAAATATCTGTGAAGGGTCCGTGAGGCGAAAGTCACCACAGTGGTGATGTGAAAAGTGTGAAGAAGAGTCAGGCAGAACCTTGGAGGAGTTTATGGGTTAAAGTAAAAGGTGGCCAGGTGCCGGCAGTTCGCGCCTGAAATCCCAGCACTTTGGGAGGCCAGGGCTAGAGGATTGCTTGAGACCAGCCTAGGCAACATAGCGAGATCCCCTCGTCTCTTCAAAAGATGCTAAAGTAGCCAGGCGTGCTGGCTATACCTGTAGTCCCAGCTACCCAGGAGGCTGAGATGGGAGGATCACCTGGCCCCAGGAGCTTGAGGCTGGGGTGAGCCCATTGCAGCACCGCACTCCAACCTGGGTGGCAGAGTGAGACCTTGTCTCACAATAAATAAAAAAATAAGGGGGAATGTTGCTGGGCTCTGGTGGCTCCTCTATAGTCCTAGCTACTCAGGATACTGAGACTGGAGGATCGCTTGAGCCCAGGAGTTAGAGTCTGCAGTGAACTATGATCCTGCCACCACACTCCAGCCTGGACAGCAGGGCAAGACTCCGTCTCTTTAATTCGTTGATTAATTATGTAAAAAATTAATTAAAGAGGAAGGACCATTCATTTATTTAGTAAATATTTATCAATTGTGTATTGTGTGCCAGGGATTATTCTGGGTGCTGGGGATACAGTAATAGATAAGTGCCTTCCTATGTGGAGCTTACATTTCATTGAAGGGAGGAGAGGCAGATAATAATTAAGTGACTAAGGCCAAGTGTGGTGGCTCTTGCCTGTAATCCCAGCACATGGGAGGCTGAGGCAGGAGCATCACCTCAAAATAATCGTCCTTCAAAGAAATCCATGTCCATTCGCAAAACCAAATAAGAGCCGAGGAAATGTTGTTGACCTTTTTTGAAGACTTGCATCCGAGGTCATGGGAATATGCTGTCAGGTCACCTACGCCCCACGGCATAGAGGAGCAGTACAAGACAGCAGCTGCCCCCTACACTATGTCATGGAAAGAGCACCTGACTTGGAGTCAGAAGGCTTGAGTTTCAGGGTCAGGCGTTCTTCTTTAAAGATATGTTGAAATACTTTACTTTTAATATAGGATAGCTAACAGATACTCTTCTTGAGCTTCACTGTGTGCCCAGCACGATGCTAAGCACTTTCCATATATTCACTCATTTGGTTTTCTCAATATCACTTTAAGATATTAATAGAAGCTATTGTTAGCTTCCATTTGAAAAGGAACAATGTGGCCCTGCATGGTGACTCATGCCTGTAATCCCAGCACTTTGGGAGCCAGAGGCCAGAGGATTGCCTGAGCCCAGGGGTTCTACACCAACCTTGTCTCTACAATATATCAAAAAATTAGCTGGGCATGCTGGTGCACACCTGTAATTCCAACTACTTGGGAGGCTGAGGCAGAAGGAGCCCCCCCTGAGCTCAGCAGGTCGTGTCTGCAGCAGCCGTGAGCATGCCACTTCACTCTAGCCTGGGCAACAGAGTAAGACTCCAACTCAAAAAAAAAAAAATTAGAGAATAAAGGATTTAGCAATCAATATCTTAATAACCTGTTTCATGAATCCTCCAAAAACACTAACACAGCCCCCAAATTTTACCAACAGATGGAGAAGGAGCTGATTCCTAAATAGTCTTTGTATGACGTTTTAAGGGATTGTTTGAAGCAACTTTATGCAAGTTGATATAACCTACCAGACTAAATTATAGCAATTGAAAGGCATTCTAATTTTTGAAGGTCAACTGACTATGGCTCAGAATCTGGTAGAGAACCAAGATAGAAGTAGATGGAAAGCAATGAGGTTTCCCATTGTATATCTCTTCAGATATTGATTTACTCTAGGTAGGTTCGAATGGACCTTATTTATTTATTTATTTATTTATTTTTTGAGACGGAGTCTCACTCCGTTGCCCAGACTAGAGTGCAGTGGCACGCTGCCAGCCACCACAGCCTCGACCCGCTGGGCTCTGGCGATCCTTCCACCTCAACCTTCCGAGTAGCCGGAATTACAGGCACGTGCTACCACGCCCGGCTGATTTTTATTTATTGTAGAGATGAGGTCTCGCAGTGTTGCCCAGGCAGGTCTCAAACCTGCGGGCTCAGGCAATTCACTCACCTCGGCCTCCCAAAGCGCGGGATTACAGGCTGAGCCGCCAAGCCTAATGGACCTTATTTAAATATAGCACAAAATAATCCTTATTTCCTAAGGGATCATATAGAAAAAAAAAACTGTGGCCAGGGGCAGTGGCTAACACCTGTGATCACAGCACTTTGGGAGGCCAAGGCGGGAGGACCACTTGAGGCCAGAAATTTGAGACCAGCCTGGGCAACATAGCAAGACCTGTTGGTACAAAAAATAATAATAATAAAATTTTTTAAAATTAGAAACTGTAATATTTGGATTTTAAAGAACTTATAACTTTCGAGAGTATTTTCTTAGAACCTCATTTTCAGTTTCTCATTTTGAAGAAAAGGTTTACAAGGTTGCAGTGTTGCTGCTTATTGACAATTTTAAAAACTCAAATTAGCACTATCTCTTCACCCTGAGCGCCCTCCTGAATCAACAAAGGTGCTGCTCGTTGGTGGATATGGTTTGTTTGGCCCCGCCAAATCTTTTATCGATTTTTTTTTTAATTGAAGTTTCACTCTGTCGCCCAGGCCTTGGAGTGCAGCGATGTGGTCAAAGCTCACGGCAAGAGCCACCTTATGAGCTCAGGTGACCCTTCTGCCTCAGCCTCGAGACTCCAGGTGGCCGCCACACCCTGCGGTTTTTTGTTCAATAGGGACAAGACCTTGCTGTGTTGCCCAGACTGGTCTCAAACTTCTGGGCTCAAGCTCTGGCCTCCCAGAGGGCTGGGATTACAGGCGTGAGGCACCAGCCCTGTCCCTTTTGTTGAGATTTAATCCCCCGTGTTGGCAGACGTCAGCCATGGGACCTGCTGGGAGGGGTTTGGATTGTGGGGGCGGATCCCGTGTGAGTGGCTCGTTGCTGTTCTTGGAGTGAGTTCTGACTCCCCGTTGCCAAGGGAACGGGTTGTTGAACAGAGCCCGGCTCTCCTCTCCCCTCCCCACCCCCCTCTGCCCCACTCCCTGTGCTCTGCACCCTCCCAGTCCCTGTCCACCCCAGGTGGGGCTGTTCCAAAGTCCTCACTGCCAGCAGATGCCCGGGCCATCCTTTCTGTGCAGCCTCCAGGACGTGAGCCAGATACACCTCCTTTCTTTAATGACCTCCCAGCCCTGGATATTTCCTTCTTGATAGCAACACAAACACGAAGGCAAACACAACGCAGCCCCCTTGGTTTGATTTGTGACGACTAGGTCATATGTATGTGTCTGTCATCGCAGAAAACAGGGTGTAGAGGGGGTACCTGATAAATCGGTGTATAAATGGGAAATGGCCTTTTTACATGACTTACACATACTTTGTACGTGCGATACTCCAAGTGATTTTGAATTTAAGTTTTAATTTCAAAATAAATATATATGTCTCAGAGCGACCGAAAACAGGAAATGTTATGTATTACAGAAAATAAAGACTAAACTGGGTTTTAGCTTTGCCTACATTCTAAAGGTTACAGTTAGTACAGTGGCATGATCAAGGTTCATCGCAGCCTTGACTTCCTAGTCTCAGATGATCCTTCAACTTCAGCCTCCCAAGTAAGTGGGACTATAGACATGCCCACCATGCCCGGCTAATTTTTTGATTATTTTTGTAGAGACAAGGTCTCACTGTGTTGCCCAGGCTGGTCTCAAACTCCTAGACTCAAACAATCCTCTTTCTTCAGCCTCCCAAAGGGTTAAGGTTACAGGCATGAGCCACCGCGCTCTTATTTTTTATGCAAATATTCTTCCTTCAGATATTCCGTCAGAGGCAAAAGAAACCCTAGAGGTGTGAGGGTGTCACCTGGAGAGGACATGGTTTGACATTTCCAAACATTTATGTGTTTTTTCTTTAAAATTCTAGGCAGTTTGTCAATATTTTCTAATATTGATATAGTAGCAGTGTTATGTATTTTCCTAGAATAGCTGCGTTGTTTATCTTGTAGCTTTGTATGCCCCTGTCACTGGGCTTCATGCCGCAGCTTGAGAAGCAGAAGCAGAAGAATTTGGTTCAGGTGTTTATTCATTTAGCAAAGACTCAGTGAAGACCTGCTTTATGCCAAACACTGTGCTGGTGATGCGGACACAGGCACCCATCCTCACAAACCAGTGGCAGCACAGACACAAAATATATTTACTCCGAGCTGTAAGTTCAGCAGTACCAATGCAGAGATACCAGTAAGGAGGATATAGTGATTAACTCCCTTGAGGTCAGATACAGAATCCTGAAATAGGCGTGTCTGAGCTGAATCTTAAAGGATCAAGTCTTTAAAGTAGTGTTACAGTAAGTCGTTTAAAGTGAAAAACGTAGGTCTCATACACACATGTAGGAAGCATATCAGAAATGCATTTGTTTGGTTTGTTCAGAGTCGGAGTCTCACTCTCTCGCCCAGGCTGGAGTGCAGTGGCACACTCACGGCCACCGCAGCCTCCACGTGCTGGGCTCAGGCGATCCTTCCACCTCAGCCTTCCAAGTAACTGGAACCATAGGGGCATGCCACCATGCCCGGCTAATTTTTTTTTATTTACTATAGAGACGAGGTCTTGAACCCCTGAGGCTCAGGCAGTCCTCTCACCTCCACCTCCCAAAGTCCTGGGATGACAAGTGTGAGCCACTGGGCCTGGTCCCTGGTCCTGCTTTAGCTCGGAAAATTGCTTCCTCTAATTCTTTTGGGCAGCGTGCTCCCAGACATGTGCTGTATCTGGTTGCAGGGTGAAGGAGTCCCTCTGTGTAGCTCCCCATTCTTGCTCTCTGTGAAGCCCTCTCCTGTACAGAACTGTCCTCGCTGCCTAGGCCTTACTGGGTTTCCAGCGTCATGTCCTCAGTCAGGGACACTACCAGGTTGTACCTGGATTCTTTCTCCCAGGGTCATGCCAAGAACCTCTCCATGACATACGCTGCGGCAGGAGGGTTCCCTGGTCTGTCTCCTGCCTCTCAGGGATCATGTCCATTGCCTGATGCCCAAAGCCTTGAAAATCACATATTTCTGCCCAGTTTTGTTATCACAGGTGGGAGGGTTCCTATGATTACCTTGGCCAGTTTTGAGCTAACTTTGCCATCCTGTTTTATCAGTTTTTCTTTCATTAACTTTGGTTTCTCCTACGTGCTTTGAACTCACTTTTCAATCAAACTGCTTCCTTCACTAATGAGTTAAATGTATTTCTGACGCCGGGCAGGGTGGCTCATGCCTGTAATCCCAGCACTTTGGGAGCCAGAGGCCAGAGGAGTGCCAGAGCCCAGGGGTTCCAGATTAGCCATGGTCTGGACATTGAAACATCCTGTTATATCAAAAGCCAATACCTCTGTGCACGTGTCAGCACCCTGTCAGATTGGGCCACCCCTCCTTCTGGCTGTGCTTCCACTAAACTAGTCCCTTCATGCAGACCCTCTGCAGACTCTCCCTTCTGCGTTGCTGTCCACTGACTCCTTCACAGTTTTCAAGACCCCTCTGCTTGTCCATAACTCTATCCGTGCTCACTGCAGACCCATTTTTGACTGGCCTGTTTCCCGAGTCAAGTACCGTCGTGACTAGCAGTTATGTCATAGATCATAGAATGTCAGAACTCTTAGATCAGTAAGAAATTCCCTTTCCTGTGGCAGGAGAATCACTTGAACCCAGGAGTTCAAGGCCAGGCTGGGCAACGTGGCAAGACCCTGTCTCTACAAACAAATAATAAAATAAAGTAAAAAGGGTTGCCAGGCGCGGTGGCTCAAGCCTGTAATCAATCCCAGCACTTTGGGAGGCCAAGGTGAGGGGATTGCCTTAACCTCCGGGTTCCAGCCCAGCCCCAGCAACTCGGCGAGACCTCGTCTCTACGATAAATCAAAAATTTAGTTGGCCGTGGCAGCATGTGCCTGTAGTTCCGGCCACTTGGAAGGCTGAGGCGGAAGGATCGCGGGAGCCCAGCAGGTCGGTGCTGGGGTGGCCCTGAGTATGCCACTGCACTCCAGCCTGGACGATGGACTGAGACTCCAACTCAAATAAATAAACTAAAAAGAATTTCCCATCTGTTTCCCTTCTTTTATGGATGTGAACTCTATGAGCCCAATGAGGTTATGGCCAACTCAAGTTCATACAAATTTAGTTGTAGGGTGTGTAGTAGGGCCGAGACATAGCATTGTTTCATGTACTTTTCTGCCTCTCACAATTAAAAACAGTTTTTGGTTGTAATTTTTGATGTGTGCCTTTGGCATTAGTTGTGTAAATATTTCATATGCCTGTCTTCCCAAATTAGACCGCAACCTACCAGTAGACATTCTTTCATTCGTATTTTAGTGCTTAGAAAAAATGCTGAATATATAAGTACACAGTGGATTATGGTATTTGATTAATAAACTTAAGTCCAAATAGACAAGATTATAAAATATATACTAATTTTCACTATTTGAAACAATGATGGTTGATTCCTCTCAACAGAGTAGTTAGGATTCAGTTGTGTCTCAGCTTTCAATTTTGCCGCTCATATATAAAATAAAATAACTTTAATTCAGTACCTTTATCTCCACTGAGTTTTTCAACCATAATATAAACTTTGTTCATTTTTTTTTTTTTTTTAATCAGAGTCGCCCAGGTTGGAGTACAGTGGCACGCTCACGGCCACCGTGGCCTCAACCTGCTGGACTCAGGTGATCCTTCCACCTCAGCCTTCCAAGTAGCTGGGATTACAGGTGCATACCCCCACACCTGGCTAATATTTTGGTTTATTGTAGGGACAAGGTCTCGCCATGTTGTCCAGCCTGGCCTCCGCCTCTCAAGTGCTAGAATGACAGGTGTGAGCCACCACACCTGGCCCCTTGTCACATGATTTACTAGCAGTCACAGAGGTCTAGATCTGTGCTGTCTGATACATTAACTACTAGTTGTTTAAAAGAGTGAAAGTTAAATACAATTTTAAATTCCATTTTCCCATGATACCATCAAATTTCAGGCAGCTAGTAGTTACTGTATTGGACAGCACCATTAAAGGGCATTTCCATCATCTCGGAAAATTCTAAGATTTCTTATATAATGATAAATTGTTTGGCCTACAAAAAAAGGAAACCAAAGATTTTTACAGACTTCACATTGGTGAGTCAACCATTCTGATAACCTGACGGCAACTCTAACATGTCAATAGTAATTATGTTGGTTGTCCTTTCTTGAAATGGGCATGTGTTTCATCATCCTTGATGGTGCAGACCTCCACAGTCAGGGGCACAGATAATCCACTGAAAAGTAAGTATATCTATATATCATAGGATCGCCTGAGCCCAGCAGGTCGAGGCTGTGGTGACTGTGAACATACTGCACTCCAGCCTGGGCGACAGAGTGAGACTCTGACTCAAAAAAAAAAGAGAGAAAACTATGTCAACTGCCCAGCACCTTACATGCCCATCCAGTGTGTTTGTTAAAAGTAAATTATGGCTCTCTCAAAAAAGAAAGGGCAGAAAAAAAGAGTCTTCTGAATGTTTTCCCTGCTCGTTAAAGGTACAGGAAGGTAGTATGAGGCCCCCCAAAAAGGGCAAGTTTCCTTCCAGAAGCCTCTAGAAGGAATACAGACCTCCTGACCCCTTGAGTTCAGACCTCTCCGGTCCCCTGAGAGGATAAATGTGTATTGTTTTAAGCCACTAAGTTTGTTATAGTAGCAGCGGGAAACAGATACAGACACTCATGGATATGCCAACTCTACGAAGCGTTTCTTAAGCACTTTGTACGTGACAGGCACCAAAATACTCATCATCACCATCAGCTCTGTTTTCTTCTTCTCTTCCGTGGCCGCTGTAGGGCTAGATCAGTCACTGCCTTCCTTGCGGGTAGACTCCTGAATCTGCTGGAATGCTTTCTGTTGCCAGTGAAATAATGGGAACATATGGGCTCCAGTAACTGGAAACCGCAGAGCTGGAAAGCGTCTCTCTGTGACTCCTGGCTCTGCTCTTTTTCTGTGGTCAGCATCATCCTTGGACCAGTGGCCCATCTCAAGATGGCTGCTGGGAGCAGCTGTGGCTCTGCGCTGTCACGGAATGAATCTGTATTAAAGTGACCAGGGAGACTGTCGTGTGTTGATCAGCTTAGAGCAGTCTGTAACTGGGGCTTGGAGTCAATCTCAGCCAAATTGCTTGCTTGCCTCCCTTAGCACAGAGAGAGGGCATTGGGATTGCCCTTAGAAAATGTGAGTGGTATCAGACAGGAGAAAGGACACATTGGTAGATAATCAAAAATCTGTGACAAGCAACAAAAAGATAAGTTATGATAATACCTTAAAGTGATAGCTATCAAAATGTTCTTAAATTGTGTGAGGCTTCAATAATAAAATCTATCATTTTAATTTATACGTATTATCAAAAGTTTTGAATTTATGTATCATTCAAAGGCAACTTCAAGAAAATCGTCTGAAAGTTCAGTCTTAGAAAGGGGCTCAGTGGCTCACGCCTATAATCCCAGCACTTTGGTAGACTGAGGTGAGAAGATTGCCTGAGCCCACAGGTTCGAGACCAGCCTGGGCAATCGGCAAGACCTCATCTCTACAGTAAATCAGAAAATTAGCTGGGCGTGGTGGTGCATGCCTGTAATTCCAGCTACTTGGTAGACTGAGGCAGAAGGATCACCTGAGCCCAGCAGGTCGAGTCTGTGGTGGCCATGAGTGTGCCACTGCACTCCAGCCTGAGTGACAGAGTGAGTCTCCAACTCAAGAAAAACGTATTAATTGAAATGGGATTGGAAGAATATATCATTTATACATTGGCAATGTAATTTTTTGAAATAGCTTTACGTAGTTTATCATAAATTGCCTTTAGCAAGTACTTTTGACTTTTATAATGTGCAAATGATATACAGCTGAAAGAACTGTAGTGCCTTAATATTCTTGATGATTTAGAGCACTGGGCTACATAGCAAAATCACCAGAAGCTCTAAAAAAAAAAAAACTCCCAGAGATTTGATTGTATTTCTCTGCAGTGGGGTCAGTGCATCTGTAATTGTATGAGCTTTTCCAGGTTATTTTTTATTTTATTTTTATTTTTGAGTCGGAGTCTCACTGTATTGCCCAGGCATGAGTGCAGTGGCGCGCTCACAGTTACCACAGCCTCAACCCACTGGGCTCAGGTGATCCTTCCGCCTCAGCCTTCCAAGTAGTTGGACCCACAGGCGTGCACCACCATGCCCAGCTAATTTTTTGATTTCTTGTAGAGACAAGGTTTCATCAAGTTGCCCAGGCTGGTCTCGAACCCCTGGACTCAGGCAATCCTCTCGCCTCGGCCCAAAGTGCTAGGATTAAGGGCTTGAACCGCTGCACCCAGCCTTTTTGTTATTTTTGTAGCAACGAAGTCTCACCAGGTCACCCAGGCTGGTCTTGAACCCCTGGGCCCAAGCAATCCTCTCGCCTCCACCTCCTAAAGTGCTGGGATTACAGGTGTGAGCCACCATACCAGGCTCCCAGGTCATTCTAATGAGCAGCCAAGGTTGGGAATCACTAACTTAAAGGATTTGGAATATCACACAAATAGGGTACAAATTAGTAACTTCAGAAAAAGAGATGGAATGTGTCCTGTACCAGACAAATGGTATAAATAAATGCTCATAATGGTGTCAGTATTATCAGAAAAAAAGTTAAGACTCATTTCTAAAAATGTGTTTAAGGGTGAGGTGTGATGGCACACGCCTTAGTCCCACCCGCTCAGGAGGCTGAGGAAGTAGTAGGATGACTTGAGCCAGGCCTTTGAGGCTGTGCTGCGTCATGATTGTGCCTGTGAATGGCCTCTGCCATCCAGCCTGGGCAACATAGTGAGACCCTGACTTTAAAAAAAAAAAAAAAAAAAGCCAACCTGGGCAACTTGGCGAGACCTCGTCTCTACAATAAATCTAAAACAAAAAATGAGCTGGGCGTGGTGGCACGTACCTCTAGCCCCAGTTCCTGGATGGCTGAGGCAGAAGGATCACCCGAGCCCATCTGGTCAAGGCTACGGTGGCCGTGACCGTGCTACTGCACTCCAGCCTGGGCAACAGAATGAGACAACAACTCAGAAAGTTTTTTGTTCATCTAATTCTAATGTCATGGGGAGGGGAGGAGCCTAGACCTTGACGACAGTGCTCAAGTGAAGAGGATGAATGTTTGTTGCATCGGAGGGGCTGAAGGGCCATGCTGCATTCAGAACAGTAGGGACCCAATCCGTGTCCGGGAAGTAAAAACTTACCTTTGAAGCATGCCAGGTGAAAAAATGCAGTATATGAGTTTGTCTTTCTTTCTCTTTAAAAATTTTTTTTTTTTTGTAGAGTTGCAGTCTCACTGTGTTGCCCAGGCTTGTCTTGAACTTCTGGAGTCAAACTGTCCTCCCGCCTCAGCCTCCCAACACGCTCGGATTACAGGCAGGCACTGCACCCAGCTTTTTTAGTTTTGTTTTGGTTTTTTTTGAGTCGGGGTCTCACTCTGTCTCCCGGGCTGTAGTATAGTGGGACAGTCACAGCTCACCACAACCTCGACCTCCTGGGCTGTAGCAATCCTTCCACCTCAGCCTCCTGAGTAGCTCGGACTACAAGCGTGTGCCACCATGCCTGCTAATTTTTTAATTTTTTTGTAAAGATGAGATCTGGCTTTGTGGCCCAGGTTGGTCTCAAATTCCTTGCCTCAGTATTCCTTCCACCTCAGCCTCCCAGAGTGCTGGGATTATAACTGTGAGCCACTGTGCCTGTTTGTTCTGTAAAGCCCTTTTTACATTCCAAAGCGGTTTCACATTCATTAACTTTTCTCATTTATACATTTCGAATTTTAACCGTACACACAGCCAGGAAAATCCTCTTAACCCCAGGCACAGAAGAAAAGCTAGAATGACATAGCAGCCTGGCAGTAATATTGGATCAAGTTAGCATGAAAAATAATATTTTTAAAAATATCACCTTTGGGCCCGGCTCAAATAAGTGGTGAAAAGATTCAGTAAATGGTGTTGGGACAGTGGGCTATCCATTTGGAAAGTAAAGCTACACGAAATAAGTTTCAGATGGATCAGAGGGTTAAATGCAGATACAATGAGAATTTAGAAGATTTACAATGAGAATTTGGGGGAATGAGAATTTGAGGGAATTTCCAAATGTTCTCCTGGGATGGGGAAAGCGTTAAGTAAACCCCAGATCCAGAAGTGGTGAAAGCATCTACTGTGAGAGGTAGTTCCCCGTGGACTTGAACTCTGATTTCAGATGGCTTGGGTTCATTTCTATTCCTGCTCTTTGGAGCTGTTTGATCTTGGAACTAAAAATATCCTATAAATCTCCAAAAAGATATTCCCTCAAGGAAATACATATGAAAACAATGAGCTGTCATTCTTTGCCTCTCAAATTGGCAGAACTTTTTTTTTTTGAGTCAGAGTCTCATTCTGTCACCCAGGCAAGAGTACAGGGGCACACTCACGGCCACCACAACCTTGATCTGCTAGGCTCAGGTGATCCTTTCACTTCAGCCTTCTACATGGCTGGAACCATAGGTGTGTGCCACCACACCCAGCTAATTTTTTAATTTAGTTTAGAAGCAAGATCTCGCCATGTTGCCCAGGCTGATCTCGAACCTATGGGCTCAGGCAGTCCTCTCACCTCCACCTCCCAAAGTGCTGAGATTACAAGCATGAGCCACCATGCCAGACTGCAAACTTTAAAAGAAGTGACGCCAGGTGCAGTGGCTCCAGCCTGTAATCCCAGCACTTTGGGAGGCAGAGATGAAAGGATTGTCCAAGCCCACGGGTTTGAGACCAAACTGGGCAACCTGGTGAGACCTTGTCTCTACAATAAATCAATAAAATATTAGCCGGGTGTACTGCACCCGGCCTGAGCTTTTACTTTGACTCAGCATTTTCTTTTCTAAATACATATCGTAGAGAAGTAATTACACATTTAAAAGTAAGTATGCACCAAGGCTCTTCCTGCAGTGTTGTTCAAAATAATTAAAACTGTAATATGCTAAATGCTAATCAATATGGGAATTAATCTTTTGGGAGTAAGTGAGGAAGAAAGATCCATTTGAAAATCAGCCGGGCTCGGTGGCTCAGCCTGTAATCCCGCGCCTTTGGGAGGCTGAGGTGAGTGGATTGCCTGAACCCGCGGGATCGAGACCCGCCTGGGCAACTTGGCGAGACCTCATCTCTACAATAAATCAAAAAATTAGCCGGTCGTGGTAGCGCACGCCTGTAATTCCAGCTACTCGGAAGGCTGAGGTGGAAGGATCGCCGGAGCCCAGCAGGCGAGGCCATGGCTGGGAGCGGCCACTGCACTCCAGTCTGGGTGATAGAGTGAGACTCCAACTCAAAAAAAAAAAAAAGAAAAAGAAAATCTATGGGGTCTGTAGTTTTGCTGTGAAAAGCTACTAGAGATGGTTTTAGAGAATATTTTCCCTAAAAATTGTTAGTGTTTTGTTCCAAGTCGCAATTGTAATTCATATCTAATTGTAATCCTGTGACAATTTTTTGAATGTCTTTCTTCTGGGCTCAAGTGATCCTTCCGCCTCAGCCTTCCAAGTAACTGGACCTACAGGCACGCACCACCGTGCCTGGCTAATTTTTTTGATTTATTACAGAGACGAGTTCTTACCAATTGCCCAGGCTGATCTCGAACCCCTGGACTCAGGCAGTCCTCTCGCCTGGGCCTCCCAAAGTCCTGGGATGACAGGCTTGAGCCACCATGCCCAGCCTTGACTATCTTCCTATAAACAAACTTTATATCTACTTGTTTGCAGAATGGAAACAGACTGCAACCCCATGGAGCTGAGCAGTATGGCAGGGTTTGAAGAAGGTTCCGAGCTGAATGGTTTTGAAGGCGCTGACATGAAAGACATGAGGCTGGAAGCCGAGGCCGTTGTCAACGACGTGCTCTTTGCTGTCAACAGCATGTTTGTCTCCAAAAGCCTGCGCTGCGCAGACGATGTGGCCTACATTAATGTGGAAACCAAGGAGAGGAACAGATACTGCCTGGAGCTCACTGAAGCAGGGCTTAAGGTGATGCACTCCTCTTTTTAGAAGAAAAGAAAATATGTCTTTACCACTTTACCAGAAGGAGGGGCGAGGGTGGAGGGCAAGGGTATTCGATGAGAACTGCACACCCCGCAGCTTCCAAACTTTTTAAGGAAAACGTTTTTCCTAGGAACTTTTATTAGTTTTAAAGTCTTTTGATCAACATGGGGAAACTCAATTCTTTTTTTTTTTCTTTTGAGTTGGAGTCTCACTGTGTCACCCAGGCTGGAGTGCAGTGGACAACTTGAGTGTGCACCACCATGTCCAGCTAATTTTTTTTTTTATTTATTGTAGAAATAAAGTCTCACCAAGTTTCCCAGGCTGCTCTCAAACCCCTGGGCTCAGGCAATCCTCTTGCCTCCACCTCCCAGAGTGCTGGAATTACAGGCGTGAGCCACCATGCCCAGCTTAGAAATAGATCTTAAAAGTAGACATAAGCCGGGCTCTGTGGCTCAGCCTGTACTCCCATGCTTTGGGAAACTGAGGTGAGTGGATTGCCTAAGCCCGCAGGTTCGAGACCTGCCTGGGCAACTTGGCGAGACCTCATCTCTACAATAAATCAAAAAATTAGCCGGGCATGGTAGCACGCACCTGTAGTTCCAGCTACTCGGAAGGCTGAGGCAGAAGGATCGCTGGAGCCCAGCAGGTCGGGGCTGCGGTAGCCAGGATCATGCCACTGCACTCCAGTCTGGAGACTCCAACTCAAAAAAAAACAGAGATAACGCTGGGCAAGACTGGCTCATCCTACAATCCCAGCACTTTGGGAGAGGGGAGGCCTAGGAGCTCGAGGGAGGATTGCTTGAGTTTGAGACTAGCCTGGGCAACATAGTGAGACCTTATCTTTACAAAAAAATTTAAAAATTAGCCGAGAGTGGTGGCAAGTGCTTGTAGTACCAGCTACTTGGTAGACTGAGGCAGAAGGATCATCTGAGCCCAGGAGATCAATGCTGCAGTGAGCCTTGATCATGCCACCGCACTCCAGCCTGGGCAACAGAGTGAGACCCCCAACTAAAAAAAGAAAAAGAAAAGTAGAGATAAATGACCCCAGGTTAATTAATTCTGTCTTGCGTTGGTTAATTCTAAGATGACTATAGTGCAGTAGGAGTTTAGATCAGAGTTGGTCTTAAATATGAGTTGGGGTGATATGCCAGTCCACCCCTCAGAGGCCCTGCTTCTTGTTCCTTTTTTCTTTTTTTTTTTGAGTTGGAGTCTCATTCTGTCGACCAAGCTGGAGTGCAGTGGCATGCTCACAGCCACCACAGGCTCAACCTACTGGGCTCAGGTGATCCTCCCGCCTCAGCCTTCCAAGTAGCTGGAACTACAGGCATGCACCACCACGCCCAGCTAATTTTTTGATTTATTGTAGAGATGCGGTCTCGCCAAGTTGCCCAGGCGGGTCTCGAACCCATGGATTCAGGCAATCCTCTCACCTCGGCCTTCCAAGGTTCTGGCATGAGCCACCACAACCAGCCAAGGCTCTGCTTTTTTATCTATGACCTGGCGATTAGTTATCTGGAAACAATTTGGGAGATAATTATATAAATAAATGACATGGAAAAATCTGGATCAGTTCTAAAACCTGGTAGGTAGTAGGTGCTCACATATTTATTTTTCTGTCTGATTCAGCTTAACATTTATTGAGCAGCTACCCTGTGTCAGCAGTTGCGTATCCACCCATGAATAACACATGATCCGAGTCCCACCAGGAAAACCCCAGTCTAGCAGGAATAAGAGGAATGCAGAGACTCTGCTCCTTTCTGGAGAGTGCCGTGTATACGTATGCTGGTGAACCTTCATAAATCTTAGAATCTTATCAGAGAGAAAAGTTTTAGCTATGTTTACAGACAAAAAACACATGTCACTTCTCGGCCTTTTTCTCTGAAGTCAAGTGTAGTATCTGTTCTGCCAGTTTGATGTCTGATCCATCCTCGAGGGCAGCATATTAAATGGATTTTTGGAGCAGCAAAATGGGACAGGAGCTTGCTCTGCTTACTTGCCACGTCTGCCTGGTATTGTAGTACCTCCCGCATGGGACACTCCTCCCAAGGAAAAGACAAAACAGTACCGTTCCCCTTTATCTCAGAGCCGAGCATCTGTTCTCTGTCTGATAAATAATGTCTTATCATGCATAATGTAATTAAAAAGCTAAAGTCATTAAAACTAATTATTAATGAAAGTTATTAAAACGAGTGCACTAATTATTAAACCTAAATTTCTAGCAATAACTTCTAGAATTCTATTTATAAAAGGCGTGCAAACCAAATAAGTAATAAAAATATGAACTAATCACATTAGCTATTATAGAACCTTAATATAGTGGACCCACAAAATATGGTAAAGAATAGATGCATGTTTTGGAATATGAAAATGAAATACTGTTTTGTGTAGCTTTTACAATTCCTTCTCCGAATTTCTTTTAGGATTAATAGTAGGTAAATCAAATCTCTTAAATATTGAAAAAAGAATTCCATAAGGGAGCGTATTGCTGGTGTTGTTTCTGTGTTCTATGTTATATATTATATGTTGCTTAAATATTAAGATTGTATGAAAAATGTATATATTCTGATTTTGATTTGAGAAGTCGTGTCATTAGACAATTACCCTTGTAAACACCTGGTTTTCACTTTCTGTACCAAGGTGAAACTAACTAATTCACTGTTGCATTTCTCCTGTAGGTGGTAGGTTATGCTTTTGACCAGGTAAATGATCATTTACAGACTCCCTACCACGAAACAGTCTACTCCTTGTTGGATACGCTCAGCCCTGCCTACCGGGAAGCGTTTGGAAATGCACTCCTCCAAAGACTGGAAGCTTTGAAAAGGGATGGACAGTCATGACTCAGCTTTGTCCTCTGAGAGGGGCTGGTGCTGGTCCAGAGTGTTGACATAAGGCGTGAAATTCTTGCATATGGTCATAGAAAACACATCTTTGGTTTTGTCTTTATCATAGGCTCCAAATTTAGGCTTTTGACTTCAGAGATTTTTGAGTAATGAATTGTCTTAGTTTCTGATTGACTAAAGGAATTCGAGGCCGTTGCTGTGACACCATTGTCAAGACATTCACATTTCTTCATATAATATCTCTGCATTTCAAACCCTAATCAGTATTTCATTCTCTTACTACAGGGCTTTGATGCTGCCAGCACTCTCTTTCACATAGAAAATTCTAGATTTGCACAGTAATATAGGAATTAGAATTACCTGACTGTACACTTTGATTCAGCCTACTAAATCCAGGGGTTCAATACTAGCTTGGACTGACTTTGTAGGAATTATTTTGCTACTAGCCTTATTGGAAACAAATTATCAACTAGTTTCCCCTGCACAAATTTTAAAATTACTGCTTCACTTAATCTATTTATATTGCTAATATGAATTGATAAAGATGAATAATTATATATTGCTTAACTAGTATTAAATGAAAAACAGGAACTGAAGTAGTTCTGTGTCCCATGTTTGCAACAGCCAGCCAACTAAGAGAGGACAAGCCGTTAGCAAATGAATGTAATAATTACTCATTTCTAAGGTCTCTAAGCACATAAGCAAATCCAGGAACACACTCCATTCTTTCTCTTAACAAAAAGCATCTCCGGTGTGGGTGATTTAAAAGAAGGAAGATTCTGGTTCCCTAGAAGATGATATTTTGGCCTGTGTTGATTCTTATTCTGAATGTTTGTTTACATGATGTATAGTATATATTCAGAAAGTATTTTTGCTTCAGCGTTTGCTTTCTATAATGTAGTGCTTTGGTATTTCCATGGCACCCACCTTCCCCAACAGATGTACAGTGTTCCGTCTCCGTGCTCAATCTACAATGTCATGTGAGTGCATTGTGTGGGTTTGAAACCAAAGGACGAATGAAGCATTCAGAGACTTAATATTTGCAAAAGGGATACTCTGTATTTTCTATTTTATTACAGGTACTGATATTTGTAAACTCAATAAACTGTACCATGCTGCTGCATGTTTTCAAGGACATGTTGAACAATAAGGATTGGGGAGTTGTTTTTTAATGGTCACCTAAAGCAGCTGCTGTAGAAATGTGGAACTAAAATTCTCCATCTCAACACACCCTCATAAATGTGTCATTTGCAGGGTTTTTTTAAATCGCTATTTTAAAAGCAGGTACTTTTAGGCTCTGAAGATCACGTGGACCAGAGCCACTTAAAGTTCATTCGCATCACAGTTCATTGTCAAACTCCATTGGATGCTTTGTTCGATGATGTGTGTTCATTTTTCAGCTTTGTGTTCAGATGCTTAAGTGAGCAATGAAGTCTAACTCCAGGTTGAACTTTCTCATGCTTAATCTCAGGCTAAATGTAAATGATATTTGTAAAGTTTGAAAAAAGTTCTGTTTACTCACTTCGAGTTAAGTATGAAGAAAAGTGATTGTATGTTTAAAAATTGAAATTGTTCATTTTGTGATAAATGACTGATTGATTCCGAGAGCTTCTGTTTCCATTTTTTAATTCTGCGTTGTTACATTTTGATTTGAAGTGAGTGAGTGAGTGAGTTTCTCTGTGCTACTGTGAAAGAGAAGACGAGAGGACATTATTAAAACGACACAGCTCTCTTTGACAGCCTAGATATTAAAACCTCCATTTTAATCTACACTGTTTAAAGAACTTAACCAGATAAATTAAGCCTTGATTTCACTTCTAAAGGAAAAAGTGAGGGGGAGGGGAGCACACGAAATAGATAACTCTTACAAATCGAGAAGAAAAAGAGAACAATGGGCAAATTATATGATCAACTAAAAACAATAGGGTGATTTCACCTAATAATTTTGTGATTTCTCTTATTTAGATTCAATACCTGTAAGGATGTAGTGAGGGGTGCTCTCCCATTCTCTCGGAAGAGATATTGGTGAAACCTTTCTGGAAATATTGGTAATAGAGCCTTCACAATGTTTACAACTTCTGAACTGGCAGTACTCTAGAACTGAGCCTTGGGAAATGATTCAGCAAAAGATAACTACAAGGGACGTTCCCTTCCTGTACTGAACAGTTAAGAGGGCTCTGAAGAGGGGTGAGGTTATGCGCCATCCCTTTGATGGAAAAACGTGCAAGCATTAAAGATCCTGGAAAAACAACAGGGGAAAATTGTTGCGTGAAAAGAGACAAAACTATAAATACCGTATTTTGACAATAACTGCATATGTAACAAGGAAAAACAAAATGAGATCGTGTTAACAGTCACCATCACTAGGTGATAAGATAGGTCATTTTTATTTCTCCTTTCTCGTATGTTCTACATTCGCTTGTATGTGCTCATTAGGAGGGGGAGAAGAGTCGAGGTGAGTTTCAAGCTTGCTGAAGAATGACCCCCTGACAAAAGCAGCAAGCCTTGCTGGGTAGTGTCTGCTCCCAGGGTCCATTTCCCATCATGACCCTCTTCCCACCTTCCCTCTGGGTCCAGAATCAGTCGTTGCATGGCTCGCACCACAGTATGTCCCTACCAGGAGCTGCTTCCACAGCACACTGCTGTTCCCTCTGGGACACGAAAGCAGTCAAGATGTTGGCATGTTAAGGGAGGGATTACCAGGAAAGCCCTGAGATCCTCCTATGTGTCGTGTTGACCTCAGAGCTGTCTCTTCAGTCCCTTCATCTTACAGATGACAGCACCGAGACTTGGGCCGATGAGGGATTTGCCCATTGACCCATCTGAGCAGCAGAGTTGAGTCAGAACTCAGATCTGAGTCCACCAGCTAACCTCATGCTGTCAGTGTTAAAAGCCTTCACATGAACTTTGTGGTTATATGAAAGCCGATTTTGAAAGAGGGAAAGGATACAACATTTGTTGGCATAATGGAATTAATACACTCTCCTTTACTAACCTACCGTTATTATATATACAATTTTCTGGAAGCTGCCTGACACAAGGGCTCACACCTGTGATCGCAGCACTTTGGGAGGCCCAGGCAAGAAGATCGCTTGAGGCCAGGAGGTCAAGACCAGCCTGGGCAACTTAGGTAGACACTGTCCTCTACCAAAAATTGTGAAAAATGAGCCGGGTGTGGTGGTGACACCCCTAGTCCCAGCTACATGGGAGGCCAAGGTTGGGAGGATCACTTAAGCCCAGGAGTTCAGTGCTACAGTGAGCTAGGATCACACCACTGCCGTCCAGCCTGGTTGATAGAGTGAGACCTCTTTTTTAAAAAAATTGACATGGTGCGGTGGCTCACGCCTATAATCCCAGCACTTTGGAAGGCCAAGGTGAGGAATTCCTGAGCTCATGGGTTTGAGACCAGCCTGGGCAACTTGATAAGAACTTATCTCTACAATAAATCCAAAATTTAAAAAAAAAATTAGCTGGGCATGCTGCATGTGCCTGTAGTTTCAGCTTCTTGAAAGGCTGAGGTGGAAGGATGGCCTGAGCCCAGGAGGTCGAGGCTGTGGTGGCCATGAGCATGCCACTGCACTCCAGCCCGGGTGACAGAATGAGACTCCAACTCAAAAAAAAAAAAGTTATCTGGAAACCATTCACCACCCCTATGGAGCAAGCTCATTTACCTGTTAGAATTTCTGTATAAATGTCCAGGCATGGTGGCTCACCCCTGTAATCCCAGCACAAGGCAGAGGTGAAAGGAATGCCTGAGGTCAGATGTTCGAGACCAGCCTGGGCAACCTGGTGAGACCTCGTCTCTACAATAAATAAATTTTTTTAAAAATTAGCTGGTTGTGGTGGCACACACCTGTAATTCCAGCTACTTGGAAGGCTGAGGTGGAGGGATCGTCCGAGCCTAGCAGGTCAAGACTGTGGTGGCCATGAGCGTGCTATTGCACTCCAGCGTGGGCGACAGTGAGAGACTCTGACTCCAAAAAAAGCATTTACCTGTAAACAGTAAGAATGAAAGGTAATTTATAATATTTAATTATAGCTTGGCTAGTTGAATAACTTTCAAAGTATTTCCCTGCTTAATTGCATATTAATAGGGAATGCAGAGACAAAAATTTGGAAATGAGGAATCAAACAGATTTTAGAATATTTGAACTGACAAGTCATTTGAAAAAAAAGCTGGGGAGGATAAACATTGCTGTATGTTCCAGTAAAGCTATCTGGAGAGAACACACAAATGATTTTGGCATACCAATAGAGAAGCCATTTGTAAAGCTCAAATGACCACATGAAGTTTATCAAGGAGTCTAGATTGGTTTGGTTTTATACCATATGGAGTGAAGAAAATAGAAATGTCAGTAGAACTCATTGAGGGTGCTTTTGCCAGCTACTGAAAAGTGGAAGTTGGCTACTCTTGGTATTTGGTCTAAAGCGGGACAGATTTGCTTTGTTTTAGGGTAAAGCTATGTCTAAGTCTTCATTTTCTCTTAAAATTGAATAAAATCTCTGTATACAGATTCATTGTATGTACCTTTATTGCTTCTTGAGAGTTCTTGCTGTATAGACAGTCCTGCTTCAGAAGTTGCTGCTTTGTTTGACTCACTTGTAAATAAGCAGAGCTGTTTTGTTGGGGGTTTTTTTTTCTAAATATAAAACCTCCACACTTGGTTTATGCTATAACTTTGAACTTTGATTTCTAATGTCATACTTAAAACTGTGTGGAATAAGACTTTTGCCATAAAAATAAACTATGGAGTCCTCTACCTACCAGAGCCTTTTTGGTTTGACCACCAAGTTTGAGTTCAGTCAGTTTAAAAATTGTTCATGTTGTTTGGATGACATTGAAAACTAGAAACCACTTTTAATAATCCGTGTTTAAGATGCTTGGTTTGTAGTCCAATCTATGATGGACTAACTGTTCTAGCAATTTCCTTCTGTCCCAATTTATGTGAAATTTTGGCCTTTAAGTAAACAGGAGTCCATTCATAAGAAAGAGCATTACTATATTGTGGTTTTAAAAATCGAAGTTGAAATTGTTAGCTTTGTTAGCAGTAGTATTATTGAATAAAAGATCCATCAGCTGGTTCATAGATTGAAAAAAAAAATGCTGAAGTGTATTTACTTCGAGTTTTGCACTGGTCTTGCATGAATATTTTTGCACTTAAAATGACAGCGTTTTCTGGTTGATAATGAAAAAATAATTTTGCTGCGAACAAACTGTTCCCAAATTGAGTTGGCAGAATTTCAAAGCATATTTTAGTTGATCACAACAAATGTTAATGACACGTGCGTGTTAAAAAAAAAAAGTGGAGGGGGGAGATTGGGACCACAAAATGGAAGGAAAAGCTTCCCGTGTGTAGAAGTGTGCCTTAGCCTTGCAAAAAGGCACTGACTTCACCTATGGAGACCGCTCCAGAAAATGCTTCCCATGTGTCTTGGTGAATCCTAACAGCCTTGGTAGGTGAGTGGCATCACTCCTGTTTTATAGCCAATTGAACAGCCCGGAAACGTTAACGATTTGTCCCTGCCGCCCACAAATGGCTGCAGAGCTGGGCCTCCAAGCCAGATCTCACAGTGCCTGACAACCCAGAGCCTCCAAGCTGCCTGGAGATCCCGGGCTATCTCCACTTTTTGAGACAACCAGTATTTGTTAAAAGTTAGAGGAGACCGGCCAGGTGTGGCGGTTCACGCCTGTCATCCCAGCACGTGGGGAGGTCGAAGCAAAAGGGCTTCTTGAGCCCAGGAATCTGAGACCGGCCTGGGTAACAAAGCAAGCCCTGTCTCTACAAAAAAATTTTAAAAATCGGACATGAGCCTGGATCAGTCCCAGCTACTCAGCAGGCTGAGGCTGTGGCGAACAATTACTCAAACACACACACACTCCTGCATGTGTTAAATACTGACATTTAACAAGTTTTTTTGTTGTTGTTGTTGTTTCTGAGTCGGGATCTCACTCTCACCCAGGCAGTAGTGCAGTGGCATGATCACAGCCACTTCGGCCTCCACCTGCTGGGCTCAGGCAGTCCTTCCGCCTCAGCCTCCCGAGTAGCTGGAGCCACAGACACACGCCCCCACGCCCGGCTAATTTTTTGATCTATTGTAGAGATGAGGTCTTGCCGATGGCCCAGGCTGGTCTCGAAGCCCTGGACTCTGGCCATCCTCTCGCCTCCGCCTCCTAAAGGGCTGGGATGACGGGTGGGAGCCACCGCGCCCAGCCGGTTAATGTGTAAACCACAGAAACATGGCTCGATGGTCCGTCTATTCCCAGGTCAGCAGGGCGTACCCATGACCCGCGACCTCGGCGGTGCGGTGATAAGTCGAATGGCACCTTCCTCTGTGGGCTTATCTCAGCGACTGCATGGACACCCCCATCTGGGGAGGTCAATCCCGGCACAGGTGGGCTCGGGTGGCCCCCACGCCTGCAGGCCTTTCCAGGATTGCCCGAGGGGAGGGCGCCCAGCCGGCGGCGACCCTGGACCAGGCTGCAAGTGCGCCCAGACCGCCCCTCGGAAGACGCTCGGGGGAGGCCCCGGCCGGGGGTCTGGCCCTGGCCGCCAGCTTTTGTCACCGCTTTAGCCCCCCGGGGCACGTGGACACGGGTGTGTGTCCAGAAAGAGACCGTCACGTGCCCTCAGCGACAGATGCCCGAGCCGAGAGAGAACGTGCTC